TAATCAAAGCCTATAAATTGTACCTCTCCAATTTTATTACAATTTTATTATTTCAGCGTTTCTTACTCTTATTAAAAAATGGTTTTAAACATAGAATAATATTATTCGAATTTAGTTTTATGATAATTCTTATTTTATTTTACATTTGTAAGTATTGTTAGGTACATATTATTCTATTTGACATCCTTATGAGGGTGGCAGTCGCCGAATGTTTGTGTCAAATTGTCATATGTTTGTGGTGAGTCGCCATTTTGCAACTTAAATCAACCTATGAAACGGCAATTTTTTAATGATTTTTTTGCAGCTGTGCATAATACGCACCCCTAATTTTGCTTATTATTTTTTAAGAAAAAAATGTGTATTATACATGGGGAATTATGGTATATAATGTAGAATGTAAATAAATCTAAAAGATTTAGCTGTGTAGCTAATCAGTATTTCATCGAAAAACCCTTATTATAAACCTCCGCTGCCTTGCGGTCATATCGAAACACGGAAAATGCCATGGAAGTAACTACAGAGCGAAAATCCGGCGCAGAGCTTCGAAGGCGGTTAGCTCTCAATACTGACAACTTTCCGACAACTGCTGCAGCTAAGCCGTCCCCAACTGTAATGACCTGTATTCGTTTGGACTTTGTCGGTACGACTGAGAGCGCGGGCATGTCGTCTAGAGAACTAGCTGACTTCATATGCTATCATCCAGGCCTTCTCACTGGAGAGCAAAGGACTGAATTTTGACCAAACATGGCACTACCATTATCTAGCGAGATGAACAGATGCCTACAACCAGAGAGAAGCGCGTAGATTGGTTGAAGTAATGAAAACTGATTTATAACAGCCTGACTTTTTCTCCACTACTGCCTTTTTCCACACAACGTTGCAAGCTTATCACTACTCTATCGTTCTTTTCATGACAATTGTTCAGATAAGCGTTGCATTCTTTTGTTCGACTACTTCAGACCTTTATAGCTAGGACTCGTCGCGCCACTTCCACGGAGTCGAATCATACTCATTTCCCCCATATTCCGCTTGTAAGAAGAAAATTCAACTCAAACTGAATTTTCTCGAGAACTGATACTCTGTGGAACAAACTCCCGCGGGAATACTTTCCTGAACACTAAAATTTTAATATCTTCAAGTCAGAGCTCAATCGCTATCTATATCTTTATAATCTTCCCTTCTTTCTACTACCACCCATCAAGTTCTGTAACTCTCTACCGCGAATGGCTCTTGAGCCTTGTATTAGGTGAATCTTGAATAAAATAGTATTTTTTATCGATTACTGGAGAACAAAACTGGATGAACTTTATGTCAGGTGTCGTCGTTTGGTCTTTCAAACAACACGAAATATGGCTAAAGTCATAGTTTGCGATTGTAAAGCATGAAGTAAAATTAGAGTTGATGACATATCAAGATATATACAGAGAATTATCATAAGTATTTCCATCATTTCACCCCAAGCAAGGCGGTGAAGCCACTAAGACGCAAGAGGGTTACAGAGAGTGAAAGAAGCTGTGAAATCTTTAAGGAGAGACATGACATTAAACGATCCAAAGAGACAAAGATTGACTTGGCATTTTGACTTTAGATTAGATTGACTTTAGATAAGTCGTTTGCTATGTGCTAAACAGTATCACCATACATGATATCTTGCAAAGAGGTCTATTGGTCACCTTGTTAAAAAATGTTTCAAAAATGACAAATTAGTAAAGCGGTTCTCATCCCTTATCTAGATATTAATCCAAATTGTCGTTAATCATTAAAAAGACAATATATATATATATATATATATATATATATATATATATATATATATATATATATATATATTATTTATTTAAAATATGATTCCAACTCATGAGTTGGAATCACATTTTTAAATAAATAATTATATTTATGCTCTACTTTTGTATCGAGCACTATTTTTTAAAATAATAACTAAAATACTAAGGAACTTTGGATTATTTACCTGGCCAGTTCCTTCCTATTTTCTATATATTTTATATATATATATATATATATATATATATATATATACACACACATATATATATACACACACACACATATATATGTGTGTGTGTGTGTGTGTGTGTGTGTGTGTGTGTGTGTGTGTGTGTGTGTGTGACAAAGTAAAAAACGTTTTTTTTCTTGACGCGTTTTCTACTTTCCGACTTCATCAGACGCGTCACAAGAAAACACTTTGAATTTGTCTTATCATAGATTTTCCTCCAATATTGTTTTTCATATATAAAAAATATATCGTTATCTCATACACACACACACACACACACACACATATATATATATATATATATATATATATATATATATATATATATATATATATATTCATCATCCCAAGCAAGAAAATAAAGCCATTAAAATATAAAGGATTACTGAGCGTGAATATGAAAAAAGAAAACACTATTAAGGAGAGTACCATAAAAGGACAGGAATTAAGAAATTCAGTTGTGTCCCATGCGTGATATACGCTTAGGCGATCATGTATTTTTCGATATATGACTGACGAGGCAGATTTTTTCCCGCAGTAGGTTGACATTTCTTTCTGCGGTAGATCAGTTGCCATCCAAGGCTATAGAACCCGGTCTGTCCTGCTATAGCTGGGGGAGGGGGGGGAGAAGAATAGGATTCATACCTTTCCCAAGGGTATTGGCATGTAAGTGAATGCAATGGATTTGACTGGAATTCGAACTTGGCTACCGAAATCCGAGCTTCCTCTTAAGAAAGTAGAAGGCAAAAATCTAAAAATTCATAAAATTATTTTTTTTTTATTTTTAGATATATTACTTTTTAATCATTTATCCCCAACCAAGAAAATAAAACCACTAAGACATAAGAGGTTACTGCGTGTGAAAGAACAAGTGAAAGGAAAACATCATTAAATAGAGAAAACAATAAAAGAAAAAGATTTAAAACAACAAAAGATAACGATTGACATTGCATTTAATGTGTTGAAGATGAAAGTTGACTTGGAAGCAAGAAGCCGAGAGAGAGTTCCACAAGCGAGAAGTGCGAGAGAAGAAACTCTTAGTACAGAACTTACGGCTAGCTCTTGCCATTCCAACTGTAAAATAATGAGACCTTGCTGCCAATCTAGTACTGAGCTTAACTTCATAACGTTTACGTGCCAAGAGGACAACTCAGTAAAACCATTACCATGAAAATATTTATAGAAAAGACACAGGAAGTTACGTCATTGCTGTAGGAGAATAATTGAAGCCGGTATGTCAAATCAAGATCGATAACATTACAGATTCTTCTTTGTATTTTATCTAGAATCTCTAAGTATATAGCAGAAGCACCAGACCAGATGTGACAGTAATATTCAATGAATAGATGAATGGTGGACTTATAAATATGTAAGATAGATTCTGTCGAGAAAAATAGTCTCCCATGACACAGTGGACCAACTTTCCTAGCAGCAGACTTAGCAATTGATTGAGATTTTTTTTAAAGCATTTCGCCCCAAGCAAGGCGGGATGCCACTAGTACGCAGGGGTTTACAGAGTGGGAGCGAGAGTAAAGAGGTGTGATGGAGGAAAGGATGACGAGAAGGGCAGGGGATAGTTCAGGACATCTGGAGATGTCGATTGACATTACATTTGAATAGTTGGAGATTATAGCTATCAGGGAAACAAGAAATGTGGAGGAAGTTCCACAGGCGAGAGGTGCGAGATATGAAACTATTGGAATAGAAGAGACGGCCAAATTTAACCGTTTCGACAGTGAAAGGGTGGGACCATTTAGAAAATAATATGCATGCAAATAAATTGCTTTGGAAGTAATAAAAACAGATGCAAGTAATATTAAAGAGGAAAGATTCGAATAAATAACAAAATCCATGAGTAAAACATAGATGAAGGTCATAGAATGTCAAGGAGCGCATTTCTTAGTTCCTCCCAGTTCAGACCTTCACAGCTAAAACCCACTATGACATGTATATGTATTTCATTGTTAAAAAGTAAGTTCCATTCGGGGCCACTTCTTCCCAGGGGGCGCTGCTTTTCGGAACAGACTCCAGCGAGGATTCATCCACTACATTTTTAACCTCTTCAAGCCCGAGGTCAGCCGTTATCTAATCTACATATCGTCATAATCCACAATTCTTATGCCCATAAAACTACATGATTCAGTAACACTCTGTCTTGAGTGGCTTGTTGGATCTTATATTGGATGAACATAAAAATAATAAAATGATAATTGAAATGGGTATATTCTCTTAAATTTGGTTCAATGGTCGATATATTTAAGTTTTATTTATAAATAAATAAAAATATGGTGCATTTAGAACCGTCATGGGCAAACTGTGGTTTGTGGGTTACATGCGGCCCGCTTGGCTTTCTAAATGGTGCGCCTAATTTCCTCAGGAAAATTATGTTTATTAAAATTTTATTCTTTTTATTTCGTTCCCACTTGTTCCCTCACACTTTCTTGTACGTAATCAACTACAGAAAACATGATTAAATGCAATGTTTATCGAATTGTGTAACTTTTCCTTGAAGGTAACTTTTTTATCATTTTAAACCATTGGCGATTTCCACTATGGAACATCACACGTGTAAACATATTTTGCTTCGGAAATAGGAAACGTCCATAACATTTTTTTTCTCCAGAGGATACACTTTTTCTTTTAAAAATAAGTATTTTTGTCTAGTCACATGAATAAATTGGAAACAAATGACATGCAGTAGCGTGTGTTAATCACACTTTCATCAGTGATAAGATTATAAACAAGACATCAGTTTTATAATTATATAAAGAAACCTTTTATCCAAAGAAAAAAAAAGGGACTTTCCCTCATTTTCAAGACAGATGTATACGCGTATGGTCTTCTGTAGTGAAAACGATTGAGATACTTTCAGTAAAAAAATTACCTTGAATATATATTTTTTAAGTAGAACGGCCCGTAAGTAGTGTATGTAAATATAAAAGTGGACACCGAGGTTAACAGCGAGCGGTGATAGTCTGCCTCACGC